CAAAATTATTCTTGCACAGAATTAAAAGGAGGAATAAATATTTTACTCATGAGGCAAATACCTGTTGAGAGCCTTCAAGCAAAGCTCCGGAAGCAGGAGGTTCAATTAGAAAGATTACATGGCAATTCAAGTAAGAGATAGTGGCTTAAACTGGAGTGACAGCAGTGGATATGAAGAAAAGTGAACAGATTAAAGAGAAATTTAGGACATGGAATAAAGAAGATCTTCAAGCACCCTTCAGTACTACAATTCACTGAGAGTCAATACGATGTTATCTTTAAAATGAGAACACCTTTTACAATAAGGGAACAGCAGTGCCAAATCTAATCAATAAGTGGTCAATCTTTCTTTAGAAAATTCCAAACCATTGCCAGTGGCTTCCTCCATTCCTCACGTGGTCTCCTCTCTCCAACAATCCCCCTCATCACAGCTCTCTTGCAAGTTATCTCTTTCAATAGCTTTTACTCACTATTCAAACTCCAGTGCCTTTCGTAGAGTTTAGCACTTAAAATTATGCAATAAATATTTAATGAATGAATGAGGGAATAAATGAAAGAAAGGTCATCTCTTCACAAACTCTTACATTTAATCAGTTGTTAATAATTGTTGAATAGTTCTTATGGTCCAAGTCATTCCCTCTTCTATCAAAGTTTACTTCTTCTAAATTCAGTTCCTTGGGATTATAGCTCACTATGAGTCAATTAACAAAATGGTTCAAATAGCTGATGTTAATATGTTTCCTCTTCCAAATTTGCATTTTAAACAGAGATCTTAAATGTGTTTATACTCTCACATGAATAACTATTACTGGGGATTTCAGGCACCATGGCAGGCTGGAAAGACAGAGCTTCTCAATTCTCATCACTGAGGCACATCTTCTGTCTACACATAAGAGAAATCCTGATGTGGTCAAAGAATCTTCAGACCAGCCACTTTCTGACAGGTATTTTGTTATATATATTTTCAGAGAGTGTTAAAAAGCATAGTGAACCTGTAGTAAGTGTTGGGACAAAAAGTTTGGGGACCAATGCATTTTGAAGAATTTTTCTAATTACTTGCAAGATGACACTGACAGTATTCCATAAATAACATTAAACTAAAAAGAGCCTCTTTTGGACAATTGAATGCCGGAGAACTTAGATTGCCAAACATTTCTTTGCTTTTGGAAGTGGGATTTGGTTCACTGTTTAATATGATTTTTACACATAAAATTTTTAAATGTATAATAAATTGGTAAGGTTGCTATATTACTTATGATTTTCAAGAAAGAATTGATTGCACTTATGTTTAGAGTTTTCTATGTATAGCAGGAAACAAAATAACCCAAAAATACCTTCTGAAAATTGGTATTTTGAATTCTGTATTATGAGAAATTTGACGATCATATAAACATACAATTTTAAAATCATCCATGATATTTCTGTAATTGGAAATGCGATAGATAAATAAAAGATGCTTTTTATTAAAAATACCCTTATTTCAAGAGCCACTAGTCAATATTGGACATCTAATCACTCTAAAACATTATTATAAGGTAAACATTTCACCAGTGTGATCTCTACCTTTGCTAATGACAATACAATAATAAAGTACAAGCATCCTCACTGATTTTAGGCTTTAATTTTTGTTTGTATTTTAATGTGGACAGCTGATGTTCTGAGAATCCACAAATTTTTACAACTGACTCAGGAGAAAGTAGGAATCTTTTCAGGACTCCTATTCTTTATTGTTATAAAAAGAGAAAAATAATTGAGTATTGCTATCAACTACTGAAAAAATGCCCAAGAAAGAGATGAAATGTTTATAAAAATTTTGAAAACATATTATCTCTAGGTAATTTACAGCTCAGATATCCTATGAACTAACATGCCAGTTGTTCAACCTGGCAAACAGAGGAACCAGAAGTCTGTGAATACAAACAACATATTCTAAAAGATAATTACAAAGTAGTATCAGAGAAGTTGTTCACTGCTAATCACATCTGCAACTTTTTCTAAGAAAATCTGTCCAGGCAAAAGCTGTAAGGTTGTGACAACCGCCACCACAGCTATTTGAACCATGATTAGCCATCTGAAAAAAGGTAACCCCATCCATTGGTTGGCCTATGATCTTGGACTTAGGACTTCTAGCCTGATACCAAAAAGATGTATAGGGCCAGCTAGATTCTTTCTCATTTATGTAACTGGGAAGATCCCGAGAGAAGATGCCATTATCTGTGGGAACAGATGTTAAAAAGTTATGATATCACAATAAACATCACTGGAGCTCATGGTACTGGAGCTCTTGACTAGTACAAGGTAAGTTTCTGAAGACACAGAAACCTGAGAAAGCAGTGGATGCCACTCAGTTTTGAGGGCAAACATATTTTGTTCTCTATCTTGTTCCTGTTTTTTTCTGCTGATAAAACCTCTGATTTTGTTTGTATATTAAGTGAATAGTCAGAAAGGTTGAATTATGATTGGTCTAAGCCCACTTGTGTCCCTCAGTCTGTTTATACCAGCTCACAAGAGCTGTTTTTATGCACCCCTTCCCAATTCAGAGTTCAGTGACATCACATTGGTAGTTTGAAACCTGCCAATGTGGGAGTATTTATGCCACAGAAATCGGCAAGTGTTACAAATTAGAACTACCACTCCACCTAGCCCTCAGTCATTTGTTAACCATTTATCAGCACTCTAAGCCCATCATGGAAATCCCATTTCCTTTTGCCAGCGATTGGTCCAAGAGTAGGTATAGGACCAAGTTCTGACCTGACAAGTAGGAGAAATTCTGATGGAAGGCATCTGAGAAAGATTTCCTCCTTGACAAGTTAAAGCCAACAAGGCCCTTTGTATTCCTGCTTTAGGCAGTATCGTGTAATGTTTTGAGATGTAATGCTTTGAGATGCAACCATGAGGGAAGGTCAATAGAATCCAGAAATCCTTACACAGGTCATTAATAACCTTAAACCACTACCAACTAGAGCATCCAAAGGGCAGGAAAGTAGGAACAGTCCACCCTGGGTATAGAAAATAATGGAGTGCACTGTCACAAAGAATTTAAAAACAATAATGAAACACATTAAATATTAATCCACTTTTTATTATTACCCTGTACTGACAAGTCAAAACAATGTTAGTGATAAGATACTCCTCCCCACACACCTGAACTCTTCCTATCCAAGTCCTCTGGTATGCTAGGGCTAGTAAGTCTACAATCAACTATCCTAAACATCTAGTTACATGACATAATTAAATGTTTTTGTTATTTAAGCAACTTTCATATAAGTTTTCTGTTATATGCAGGTAAAACATTCCGAAGTGCTAAAGTTGTTCATAGAAAGCAGTAGACTTAGAAGGTTGCTGGGTCAGGTTAATCCAGCACTGAAAGAAAAACCATGGGCTCCTGTTCTGAGGACCCACAGAGTTGCTTAGATTCCAGGCCTCTCACCGCTCTAATCATGCAAGGAAAGCCTGGCCAATTATGGTTCCTGTTCCTGTGTGTCCAGGTGATTCCCCCTATTGTGCCATCAGTACACCTATAATAAACTGCCTTTACATCGAGTAGGGTAAGCGTGTTTCTTTGTATTATAACCAAAGAACCAAGTAAAAAACAGAACCTAGCATTTAACAATTAAATTACAAAAGACTGCCCCAAAATAAAATGTTGATTGGAGTCACATCACAAAATCTATACTAAGAAGACAGCAAATAGAAAAAATATGCTTAACATAGCATTGTGTATAATAGTTAAAATTACTAACAAAAAGAGAACAGATAAATAAATGATTTTTTTGAAGACTATATAGTGATGTGGGAAAATTCAGCCAAATATCACACGTAAAAAGGCAAATAATCTATATTTATATATATATATATATAAGGATATAGTTATTTTAAAACATAAATTTATATATATATAAATGCTGGATGGAAGTAAATCAGATATCAGTGGTTGTTATTTCTGAATAGTGGGATCAAGGCATGTTAATCTTTTCTCCCATACATTTTTTACTATTTTCAGTTTTTAGCTCTACAGAAATAAAGTAATTTTAAAATAATTAGCACAATTTTCTTTTTATTAATGTATCCTGAAAATACACTAGTTTTCTGGAACTGTTGTTCAGGATGAGAACATATACATATATGAAAGTAATGTATTTAACAGGTTAAACAAAATATATCAGGGAGCTTTAAAAAGATAAAATGACGTTAGAAATTCATGGGAATTTGGATTTTATAAAAAAGAATATTATCACATTCCAAGAAAATTGCTCTTTCAAAAAAAAAGGAAAAAGTATGTAATTTATTTTAAGGAGAGGCTTAATTTCTATGAGAATAAAAAAGATTAAAAAGTATTTAGTTCTTTTTCATTACAACATTATAAGGAAAACTTGAGTTATGCTTCTGAGGATTCGGCTTTATGAGAGTGATTTACAATCCTGCAGGATGGTGTTCTAATCTGTGATGAGAGAATCATCTGCGCTTGACATGGACTCTCAAGCCCGCCTGTTACTGATGTAGTTAGATGTTTAGACCTGTTTATTTGGTTCTTTAGATGACTAATATTCAAATACATATGCTAATAGTTGAAATACATATTGTATCTCAAATCAATGAAGAGTCTTGCATTAATATATACTTTTTTTCTGAGTAGAGAAAATCAGTTGGAAAAAGAAGTGCAGGGAAATCAGAAGATATAAATATATTAAAGGGGGAAAAATGATGATTTATTTGAAAAGCCAGGAAATGTCTAAGATTTCCAGCTACTGTTTTCAATTATTCTTTGCCCATGAAGGAGAGTTTCTTTTAGAGATACAATATAAATTATTGAGTTGTAAGGATTACAAGGCATGAAGCTCATTATCTTAGAGTAAATCATATGCAGCAGCACTTTGCTTCTAGAAAGACTATCATTTTAAAAAGTTTCATTATATTGCATAAAATTAATTATATTCAGTATTATCCTGTTTCAGAAAATTGACAAGAGCAAACATATAAATCAAAAAATCAAAAACATACCAGATACAGCAAGGAAGTCATCAATGCTTGTAATGTCATCTACAGCTTCAGTGAGGACATGAATATGATTCTCCCACGTGCGCTTGTACATTTCCATGGTTTTTTTGACGACTTGACTTTTGGGTCTTGCAGCCAAAGCAAGTGCAGCATTTATAATCTGTAAAGATGTAGAATGTTCACATAGTGATTTCCTTGGAAATAGTTACCATTGTGCAGATGACAGGTATTCTTTTTTTAAAAAAAAAATTAGATACGTTCATCTTTAAAAATAAGGAAATGGTAAAATGCCTTCATGTGTAACTTCCTCTTTGCTTTTGGTAATTATTTAATTTTATTTTTGGCAATAATTTAATTTTAGGACTATTTCTTGAGTGTCAATGCACTAAGAGGTGCAAGAAATATAAAGATAATTGGTATCTCCCTTTAGGGAGCTTGTATATTACTCAATGGGAAGGGCAACCTATAACTGTGACTCAATTCAGTATGCAATACATGCCATAACTACAAATAATGGTCAATAGTCTTTGGAGAGCAGAGAGGTCATTTTAGCAGAAATTCTAAGGACAGGCTTTAAGGAAGACTAACATTTTAACTGGTCATTTGGATTCACATTGCACAACCAGGTAGTGAATGCCCACTACATGCAAATCACTGGAATAAGATCTTTGACTTCCTTGCGGACTTGTAGAATTCCACCAGTAGAAATTCATTATTTATTAATTTATCTATTTGTTTGTGCACTCATTCATTCAATATTTCAAATGTATTCTGAGTGTCTTTTATGTATTAAGCACTGTTCTAGGTTTTAGGGATATGGTGATGAACAAAACACAGGCAAAAATCATTGTTTTCATAGAGCTTATATTCCAGTTAGGGGAGACAGGCAATTAGCAAGTTAAATAAGTAAAACATTTAGTCTGTTAGATGGTTATAAGAACTAAGGAGAAAAAATAAAGCAGAGAAGGATAAGGAGTGGAGTGCTGGTGAGGATAGGATGTTTGTAATTTTAGGAAAGCCTTGCGTTGAAGCGAACATTTGAGTAAAATCACTGGTGGGAGAGAATTCTGGGACAGAGAGGCAGCAAGATTCAAAAGGTGAGAAAATAGGGGAAAGGCTGTGAAAATAGTGAGCAGTCTCACCTAGAGCCTGGGTATGCAAAGTGGACCAGCAGGAGTCCTTGACTGCCCTGCTCAAGACTGGGGCCTTATTTGGTAGGCACTGGAGAGTCATTTTGACTTTTGAGCAATTTGCTCAGAACTACACTTTAAAAAAATTAATTTGGCATAGGAAGCTACTGCAATAAAGGTTACAGGAGTAAGAAAGAGCCTGGACTACAATGGTGGAGGTAATGAAAAGGTTTTCATGAGACTTTCAATTAATTAAAGGAGGATGAAGATAGGTCAACTATTGCCAAAAATACGCAGCAATTAACAAGTCTGTGGAAAACAATATTTAAGGACATGGAAATACACCACAACAGTGCAATAACAGTAGATTATAAAACATTATGCTTCATAGAATGTCATTTCTAGCAAACATGCTAGAAATAAAAGTTAGATGAATACATGCAACAATTAACAATGATTCTCTCAGAGTGGTGGAATTTCCAGTGCTTTTTATTTTATTTTTTGTGTGTAACTGAATTTTTCAGATTTTCTATGGTGAATACGTTTTAGTTATATAGTCAGAATAAATGAAGTTATTCTTCAAAGAAAGATGATTACTAAGGGTTTTCCAGGAGTAGTGGGGAACATGATTATAGTATTGACAGAAAAGGAGAGGCCAGAGAGTTAAAAAGTCAGTCAGGGTTGTAAAAGCAGACTTGGGCAATAGTTTTGAAGGATAGCGTTGATGAGGAGTATTAGATGTCAACTTTCCTATTAAGGAGGTTGAATTTGAAGTGACTCTTGGCTTTCCATACAAATTACATAGTGACCAATCAGTGATATGGAATTGGAGCTCATTAAAAAAGTTGCCATTCATTTACCCATTTATTGTTCATGCGTTGAAAGAAATTAGTGCTGTACGGCAACAATGTATCAGATTCTACACTGAATAATAACTAATGACATCACAATGAAAAAGATTCCACTGTAGTTTCTAAAACAGCCCATAATCTAGTAAGGGAATCAGCCAAAAGCCAGGCAATTGCAACATAGCAGCGATTCTCAGACTTTAGCCTGTATCAGAATCACCTGGAGGACGTGTTAAAACACAGATTTCTGAGCCACTTCCTAGAGTTTCTCATTCAATTGATGTGCTTTGGAGCCTGAGAATTTGCGTTTCTAACAAGTTCCTAGGTAATAGTGATGCTACTAGTCTGGGGCTCCCACTGTGAGAACCACTGCAATATATAAGTGCGATAAGGTAGGAGCTATTGTAAGGGTAAGCACAAGATGCCCTATAACATATAGGAGAGGTACCCAGCTCCATAGGGAAAGATGTCCCGAAGGACTGAAATCTGAAAAATAAGTAGAAATTAGTATAAGATGATATTGTTTTAGGAAGAGGCAGTAACATGTGCAATGTCCTAGAAGCGAGATAGAGCCTAACCCAACTCCTGGGGAATATTCAGCAGAGAGGAGAGACTAATAGAGTTGGAAGAAAATCAAAGAAGACAATGGGAAGAGGAAGGAGAACACACCTTTGGAAAGTACTAACACGTACAAGGAAAGGATAAAGTGGAAGTGATAACGATGAGAGAAGGAATCATCAAGAAGGAGGTAGAAAACTAAGATATTAACGAGTTAAGATGAGGAAGAAAACTTTTTCAAAAGGTCAAATGCTGTAGGAGAGTCAAGAATAATGAGGACTAAAAACGGTTTTTAAACTGGAAAACAAGAGTCATTGGTGCAGCAGAATGTTGGACAAAGAATTCAAATTTTGCCAAAACATAACGGCAACAATCAAAAGAACTTTTTTCTATTCAGTAACCTAAAGCCTGCACCATACTTAAGTGACTTTCACCACTTTATTGAAGGTAGAGGTGGGGAGAAATTAGTTGCTTGAAAATATTATGTTGATATTCTCTTGTTTATTTTTTATGAAAGAGGAATCCATTAAATTTTAAGGAAACACTACTTTTAGAAATAACTACTGTGCAGTATCTGTTGACTTCCGTTTTAGAGTTTTATTAACTTATTAACTTACAGGGTACGTTTGTGTACACTGAGAAGGCTCAGGTCTCTGGTGTTTCATTGTCCCTGCAATTGGACAACTGTGCACACATGTGGTTGTGCTGGAATTATGCCTTCACAGAAAGCCATACTTTTAAAGTACTGGTGCAGAACCCTCAGTGGGGATATAGAGTCAGAAATATAAGGCAGGTTATATTTTGTAAGAACATTTTCAGTTCTGCTGCTGATCTAATTTCTCTGATTCAACACTGTGCACTATGAGAAAACTTCATCCTACTTGACTCTCTTGATATTTAGCTTAAATCTAACAGCAGACAAAATTCAGATGTGCTAACCCTCTTAAGGCAGAAGAAATCTTCGTCCCAACAACACACTCCTAGCATTTCAGCTGTATATCTAGAGGGGGTAAAAAAGACCATTCTTAAATCCTCTTCATGCATAACTAAAGATGACTGAAATGAATTATGCTGCTTTCTGAGGCATTTTTCTTTAGATTATGGTTGAGATATATATATGTCAGAATCACCCTTGATCCTGTAAATCACCTAGTCAGTCAGTTCACCTCTAAAACAGTCTCTTGAACTTCAAGACCTCATCATATCTTAACAAGACTATTTTAATAGCCTTCCAAATAGTTTCCTAATTTTAGTCCCTGTTTACTCTAAGCCATTCTGCTTACTATAAACACATTTCTTTTTCAAATGCAGAAGTGATCGTGTCCCTGCCTTGCTGAAAACCTTTGATAGAATCCTAGTTGACTAAAGATTGAATCCAAATTCTTTTCACTGATTCAGTCTATAAACCTCCACAGCTGGCCCTTACCTACAGTGTACTGTGCTGTAATAACACCCTCATTACAGCCTGGGTTCCAGCCATACTGTCTTCAGCTCCATTTCCTGACCATACCATGTATCTTTATACCACTATGACTTTATTTTTACAATTGAATCTGCCCTAATGCCCTTGTTCCATTCCTTTCCTGCTCTGGTCCATCTGAGCAAACATTTCTTATCTTTAACAAACCTGTTGAAATGTTACCTGCATACTGTGAAATCCGTCCCATCCCCTATACCCAGGAAACTGAATTGTCCTTCTGTGTTTTTAAAATACCTTGTCCATATAACTAAATAGTACTTAATCATACTGCATGATTGTTTATACATGTCTGCTCCATACGACCCTCTTCGTAGGAGGCACTATGTCTTACACACCATTGCTTCTTGGTATACTAAGTATGTTAATCATAGTTACTGCTATATTCATTAACTGTTCCTAAAAGACACTATTCTACTCGTAGTCCACTCTGAGAGGATTGCCATCGGGAGCCTAGTTTGGTATCATTTTCTTCCTCTTCAACACTGTTTAGGTCATAGGCTAGCACCCAATATGAGGATAGCCAATCTGTAGGCTGGCCAGTGATTGGTCAAGACATGATGTAAAAGGTTGAGCTGTTCAAGTTTCTCTTGAAAATTTGAACTAGAACTGACGGAGAAATAGTTAGTTAGTAATGGAAACTAAAGCTGAAAATATATATTTAGAGAAGCCATCTAGTAAAATCAGAACAGAGGGGGCTATTGGAGCTAAGGTCCTGAGGGAACTAGAGTAAGCCAGATTTGAAAGGAAGAAGAAACTGTGAGTAGACTGAAGTTACCGGATAAAAAAAAAAAAAGAAACAGAGTATAGAGTAAAATAAGCCAGTGGATTGAAAGAGAAGAATGGAGAAAATATGTAAAGAGAATCAAAAGCACAAACAGGGAGAAAACAATACTTAAAGAACAAAAAAGACCTGGGAGTTGACTTTTTGAGAGCATCCTATTTTGAATTAAAAGTCCACAGAAAAAATAACAATGACAATAATAATAAATATCAACACTCAAATTCCATACTTCGTGCCAGACACCATTCCAAGCACTTTCTATTAACCCATCTAATTTTTACAATAACTTTATGAGGTAGGTGCTATCATTTTCCCCATTTTTCAGACAAGATCATCCAGTTATTAAGAGGAAGAATTGTCGAT